GTAAAATTGACCCTTAGGATGGACTCTGAAGGAAATGGTTTCTTAATGATCCTTAGTAAGAGAAACACGCCATTCAGAGACAGCCAGCAGTATCATAGTTCGAGTTTGGGATATGAGAAATGGGACGACTAGCTAGCGTGGCAAAATTGTGGAAGGAATAAATAACAATTATATAATCTATGTGGGCGTTAATTCTATACATTCTCACTGAATACTTAATGGGGAAGAGATTCGACTCAGTGGGTTTAAAGGTCTGCCTTTATAAAGTCTTTGACTTCTTAGATTTTGCGATGTAGGCTTTGTAGAAGAACTGAAGGAACAGCACAGCAAACGTGACATAGATGATGAAGGCCAAATAGAGGTTGGCCATTGATTGCTGGCATCTAAAAAGATTTCACAGTTGTACAATGCCGTCCCGGATGTGTAGGGTTACTGTAATATTGCAAAGCTTACGGCAGATTGGACTCGGTTTTAATTCGATAGACAATATAGGAGACAGCTACTCCAGCCAACATCTGAGCGGTTTGAATAGTTGTGACACCCATCGAGACCTAAAATTGTTGATAGCAAAAAATCTGCGAATGGGGCTCTAGGAAAACAGGCGTTCACCATAGCCCGACGTTTGGGGCATTTATTAGTATGGAAATCTTGTCTCGGTCCTGTCCCGGTTTCTTTTCTTTTACTTTGATAATTTATATAATTTGATACACTGCTTGCGGGTTCCCACTTCTCCAGATTGCGGAGCTGCCCGAATCAGTAGCTCTAGATGCCGGTTAATGAGAGGGGGTTAAAAGCGCGTGAGATTGTCCGGCGTTCATGGTTAGCGACAACCACGCGATGAAATGCATATTTGGAGCTATCGCAAGATAAGGATAAAATAAAAGGCATTTGCCGTTGATCAATCCCTTTTTGGGATGCGGCACGCATTCTACTTCCATTTGTACATTCGTAGTGGCGTTTGAATGCGATGTGGCCTATACAATGACTTGCGGGGGCCAGCCGATGTACAAGTCAGTGTTTTTATCCTCCCAGACAAGTCTGGTACCAATTAACCGACCCCGGAGGGATGGAAGGCTTGGTTGGCCCTCACGACCCAGGATTTGATCCCCGGACCGCTCGCGTGGTAAGCGCGCCACTTGCCACTACACCACTTCCGCCCCTATACATACAGGGGCATACTCTAGGATTTTCCCCAAAGCCGTGATGTCAACCAATCGGTGATGAGAAAAATGACCAGACAAAACCCAAGCATACCGATCTGACCCTCAAATCTTGTACCCGGTAAGCAGCACAAATTTTCACTACAGTGTTTCTGCCATGGGCTAATAAATAAGTAAATGTTTCAAAATCACGCATAGTTAAGAACATACCCATTTTGGTACACGTATTCCGTAAGCTGTGAAGGTGTAGTAAGTGTACATGACTGAATGAGCGAGGAAGTTCATGGCTATGAAAGCTCGACCTGGTGCCGCATGTTCTGCACCTGAAAACACCACAAATTGAATCATGCACTGCTGGAAGAGTTGACTTATTTATTTCTGTATTTCACCGATTTGAAGCAGCACTATCGCCATGAAAGCTGAAGCTATTGTTTTAAGTGACCTCATACTGAAGCTGGCATGGCATATGTTGTGCATAAGTCATGGAGGTCGTCTAGACAATCCCAGCCATTAGGCATTGCCTATCGCGCGGCGATTTCGGAGTCGATATTGGCTCTATTTACCGTATGCAAACAACAGTTGGAGAAGTTGTGCAAAAATTTGGAACGGTAGACTGTATGACCGATGCGACGTTACGGTAACGATCACAGCGATCACTGCACTTGTGTGTGAAGTACATGTCAGACTGTAATATATGAGTTTGTTCTTATTTTTGTTTATTTTTCTGTAAACTTATTATATTATGTAGTTCGGAGTTAGTGACATGGTTCTAAAGTTTTCTTTAAATGGTTAAATTTCTAAGAAGCTTGGTGAAAATGCGCGTTCCAAGGACAGCTTGCTGCGCGTCCGGTATCGAGGCGTTCGTAAATCATGCAATAAGAACACATTGTTCACGTTCCACCCCATCTTCATAAACCTCTGAAAAACTTGTGGAATTTCGAAAAGAAAAATGTGGACGCTATTCCGTTACTGTTGAAAAGTGACATCCAGACGCAGAAAAAGTGACAGCCAGACGCAGAAGAAATTTCCGCAAATGCGCAAGTGGAACTGGAAGCGGTCGAACGACTACAAATGCAGAAGATTCGAAAAAACTGCAGCGCCTCGCTTGCTTTTAACCGGGAAAGGCTGTCAACCTCCCATGTAACTGAGAATTGAGATCTAGGCGAATCGATAGAGCCTAGGATGCTGGTTACAAATATGAAGTTCAAAACTGCTACGTAGACCTACCAAGAAAGTTGCGAACGATCAAATTTTTCCAAGGTTCGATCCCCCAGATGCCAAAATTTTTGCATCTTAGCTGGAGGCTTCCAAACTGGTGCCAGATGGCTTCAATGCCAGGAGTATATGCCATACTTATAATCGAGGCAATCGGTATCCTTGGGAAGGAG